ATGCAATGCGAAATAATTGTCGACTGGTATTCCTACGCAAAATACTACGCAAAATGCGTTCGGAGACCCCTCACGTCTCGTGCAACGGTTCCGACGCGATATTTAAAAATGACACTGTGACCTTGATTAAACGTCTCATGCTGTTATCGTGCAATCGACGTCGTCGGAGTTCCCAGAGTACAATTTGTTGAATTAGACTGATTCATTGACTTATTGTCGTGTGCCACTAACTGAAAAGCGCCGTATCTTGAGAAGTTTTGGTGAAAGTTTTCGCCTGCACGCTGTGCGTAGTAAAACTGACGTCGATTTTCCGTTTGACAAGCCAAACGAACGTACAATAAGAAACCTTTTCGGTGGCTCGCCGGTTTAGAAATACTCCAGAAGATGTACACATTTTTTATCACAATGTATTTGCTTTTTCCATGCAAACTGTAAAAATAGTTACATCATTATAACGTGAGTGCACGCACGGTCGACCACTTATGCAGATGACTTTACGTAAAACATATATAAGTGCCGCCATATTGGTTTGGTAAACGGGCGTTTTCCTATTTTTGCATCTCGTTACGTGAATCGACAAGGTCCGGAAACGTCGAGTGAACCACTTTCGTGTGTTTGATTGCGCCGTAACTCACAGTTTTCGTTCAGTTGTTCAGTATACAAAGCAGCAAGGTTAACCGCCCGATAAGGCGGCGCCAAAACCGATCCGTAAGGTAGGTCTATAGACCTATTGCACGTTTGTAAACAGCGGTTAGGCACCAACGACCTCTTGGGGCGCTTGTAGCGATCAACGCCGCAGCGCGTAGGCTCCGCCCAGCGCGCTGCGCTTTTCATCTGGGAGGCACCACCTTTCATCTGGGAGGCACCACCTTTCATCTGGGAGGCAACTTTGCAGCTTCTGTGCCACTTGTCTCCTGATCACAGAAAACTGTGGCGAGCTTTGGGCTGGGCGGCTGTGGCTTCCCGCGGAGTTCAAAACACACGCTGGCGTGATCATTTTATCATCATCGTACATCCGCCAACTTTTTTAACCCGCGAGCGTCAATAAGCGGCATCTAACGTAGCACAGCGGCAAAATGAACGAGAAGATACGAGCATGCCTGCTTATGAAGAGTCCTGTGCAGCTGTCTTCTGCTAGGCTGTTCCAGGAACCAAACACCAGGACGCCCCGAACAAGCGCTTACAGACTCGGCGGTCGACGCTCGTGCGTTGTGGTTAAAGAATAGGCGGCTGTACAGTCTCATTTAGTGCGGATACACAAGGCTAGGTCCAACCGCAAGATGTCATCTATCGCCGCAGTCTCTAATACGAACGTTCCCTCGTAAACACTATACAGTGCGCGTGGTTGATTCTTGAAGCTTCTAGTTCCATATTTTATGAGAACTTCGAATAGCGATAAGCATTCACCGGAACACTTCATGATGTATAACATCTTTTAGCGCTGCTTCAAGTAACCGACGTGCGAAGTAAAAACATCCACAGTACGTGTTATTCGCATTGCCTGTATAAAATACACCACAACTAGAGAAACAGCGCACACATTTGTTTTTTATGACATTGACATCAATACCGTCCACTTGAAGAGATTGGAGGCAAAAAACAAAAGAGATAGAACAGGAAGACCGCAAAAAAAATACCGAAGGGTACATCAAAATACATTACAACATATCATATCATACGAAAATAACAAGCACGACAGGCGACAGACTTTAGGCGGTTTACAAAAGGGCAAGCACAGTGTTGCTAGCCTAATGCGCTAAATAAATCATGATTGCTGTTTATAAGGCAATTTTTGTATTCTGAAAGGAACATCAATACCGTCCACTTGAAGAGATGAGAGACAACGACAAAAGAGATAGAACGGGAAGCCCAGAAACAAGAAAAAAACATACTGAAGGGTACATCAAAATACATCACAACACATCGCATGATACGAAAATAACGAGAACAGGCGACAGACTTTGGGAAGTTGGCGAAAATGCAACTATTATCTTGCTAGCCTAATGCGTTAAAGAAATCGTCGATAGCTGTATAAGGAATAGTCAGCTGCTAGAAGTTGCTCGCCAGTGGATAGTGACAACAAATGTCAGGCCATCTTTGAGGCATTTGACAAGCCGGGCGCGAATTGTATGACGCTCGTCGCGTCGGTGAAGGGGTACAATAGAGAGAAATCACAGCAAGGAAAAAGGCGACCACAGAATGGCACAGAGTTGAAATCCCATTGCGGCTAGGACGTCCATAGACGCCCTAGCTACACTCGCAGCTGCAAGTGCACGCAAATGCAGCTGGTGGCGCATAAGCTGGCCAGCATCGTTCCATTCGCATAGTGTATCTTCAATGAAGTCAAAGCTACATGCTGACGTCGACAGATCATCAGCCGTTTCACTTGTTCAGATACCAGTGCGTGATGGCGTCCACTGAAACGAGACTATTCTTCTCTGAAGCGTAATTTGTTGCGGTGAAGAGTAGACACACGGCACAAGCCCGACTTCTTCAACCACAGCGCATTCCTGCAGCCATCGCTGCCTGAGTTACCACGTTCAGGCAGAGATGCACTCTCAATATTGTAAACCGCAAACGCCAACACCTCAAATGCAAACATCAATACGGCATCAGTATTCATTCTGCGACTACAAAGTTAGAACACACGAAAAATGACATTCACTAGACAAGCAGTGAAAGGTATACATGCCAGTTGGCATATAACTCAAAAGCGAAAAAGAAACAAAAAAAAGAACGCGAACGCTAGGCAAAGAATGACGACACGAGAACGGTCACTATCATTTCAGTAGTTTGCGTCTCCACACAAAGCAGACCTCCGCGATTTCGGCCGGTGCTAACTTCATAACCTGATACGAAGACAGCCCACGAGGGTTTTCGCTGCTCACGTGACTGAAGAGCTCTGGTACAAAAAGGAATCCAAACGCCGGCCGATCGGACCCGGATTCACCACATATTTCACGTGACCTACCACAAAATATCACATAGCAGCCATTAAATCATTCAGTGTGATCCTAAATATGTCATATATACGGCACACTCTCATAAAAACTGAAGGCACAGAAGATACACCAAACTCGCAGGAAAATAAGACCTCCATCGAAACTTTCACAACAGACGATACATTCCCGTCATACGAATCCAACGACGTTTATCACGTGCGAAGGCTTAGCGAATTCGTTACAGTGCATTGTGCAGTGTTACAGTGCAACTCCAGTAGATCGGCGAGATGCACCGAAAGCAGATCATCCGGCGTATGATAAGTCGACGTGTCCACCCCCGTTGCTCGAGTTGGTGAATCACAAATTTCGGCGGCCACACGTTCCGAATGAACTGTGCGCGCTAAACCGATCGCGCCTGGTTTCAGTTAAATTTGGTTTTGAAAACGCCTGCGTGAACGATGTTGCGTTGCTAAACTGAATTAAAAGCTATGTGCCAGATGCAACGCATATTCTCGAGTGCACACAACGCGTTTTCGATGTGCATCGACAATGTATCTACCACGAGCGGTAGTTAACTAAGTACTCGTGCGATCGTAAGTGACCGAGGAATAAACTGCCCTCGACAGCAGGCCAGTTCACTATTGTACTATCTTTAAGATGTGCCCGCCTTACACCAAGGAGGAGGAATAAATGAGGAAGGACAGGGAGGGAGGAGGACAGGGAGGCATTACACATAAACAGGTGACTTAGCTAATGCGCCGGTCTCCTGTCTCCTTACTTCCCTCCGCCTCGCTCTGTCCTTCCGCTCTCTCTATCTCTATACCTTTTAATCCCTTCTCTACCTCCATCCCTTGTGAGCTACTGTTGAGGTGTCCTCCCCCTGAGAGACAGTTACGGGGTTCAAAGTTCTCTTCTTTTCATTTAAGAATCACTCCCTCCCCCTGTCAAAGGGCACCGAAAGCTTTTCTTCAAGGCGCGTTCATTTATTGCCCTTGAAAGATCCACATTGTCAGGCGCAGTTTCTTGCTTTTCTGTATAACAGCGCAGATAATAGAATCGGTCACAGGCACGCCTTATGGATTTGCGCGGACACCTTCACGTGTATTCGTTATAATAATTCTGCCCCACGAGCAGGATATTGGTCGATACGGTTAGCAAGGTGCAAAAGAGTCATCCTCAACATTTCGGAACCCTTAAGCTTCGCCATAAAAGTCGAGCGCGATAGCAATATCCACCCACACGCAAGCACACACTCCATCACCTTCTTATCGCTAGCTTGCCATTTGCATCTCGGTGAATACCTAAAATTTGATAGGAGGAAGCCGAAACGCAAACAACTACCGACTGCTATCTTTATTTCAATCAACCTCGTATTTTCCGCTTGCGGCTAACGCTGCTTTTTCGCTCACAACCGAAGACGCCACCGCCGTCAAAATTTCTGAGAAAAGAGCTTCTTAACGCTCCCGCGCCAAAAAGCTTTAATTCCAAGAACACTTTCATTTTAGGCGCAGACACAGCACGATAGAACGAAACGTGTGGAATGAGAAGGCCTCTCAGAAGATTCTTTAAAACAAGTTTACTTTGCCTAATAACAGGGGCACCGTAATTACGTAAGAGAGGCAATTAACAAGTGGGCCCCGTACCTTTACGCAGTCGTAGATGTCCTACCACGTCAAGGTAATAACCGTGAAAGTTTTTGCAATGGCGGCCCAGAGCCCTTATTGTCGAATCATAACCTCCGTATTCAGAAACTCTCCTCCATTTGGACTTGCCACCGCCTCAAGGCAGCGTATTTGAAACTCGTTAGTGCTACATTAAAGGCGATGGCAAGTTGTCAAGGAGTGTTTCTTAGTACGGGGTCGAGGGCTATTTAGTTCCCATTGCTACCGCCGGGAAGCCTGGGACCACAAATTGGCCCTCGGGCGACGCAGTCATCACTCCACTTTCATTTTTGCATTCATTAAGACCCCTGTTTTCTTTCGTACTTGTCCACTGGTGTGGAAAGGAGGTCACTGTGGTGACACTGCCTTCCCTTCAAATGAGACCACTATCCACGCCTGTGTTTGCTGCGATGGAATGTGTAACGTGCCAAAAAGACACGCGAGGTCGTAGTTTATTAGGTATTTCTTTGTATTATTTACACTTCTAATCAACCGTTAAGGCGTCGAACCAATCACAATAATTTATTGACAACTCATTTAAGCACGACGACAACGAATGGCATAAAAATGCTAGACGAAGAAAAAATATTGGTTACGTAATATACATGCCACCCCCCCCCATCCTACTCCCCCAAGATACAGATGACAAACTTCGCACTTGGTGTGGCAGCGGTCATTTTGCAGATGCACCGTTAACGTCATCATTTCGGGTCCCTACCTATTGCAAGGCTCAGCGCCCAATTGTGGGTTTAGGGCATTATTGGTGACGAGCCTCTGCCCTCCGGCGACTTGCATCTTCTTCTTGCGATGTGCTTCGGTCTCTAGATGCTCGAGCTTATAGCCGACGTGCTCGAAGAGTACGATGCCGCAGACTCGGCAAGACAGGTCGATCACCTCGCCGTTCTGTTCCTGCTTCTCCTGCGGTGGCTCTGACATGGTCGACGTCGGCGGTGACATCGGCGTCGTCGTCGGCGGCGGTGGCGATGTCGTCGGCGGCGACGATGTCACGGCCAACGGCAGCGGTGATGTCACGGCTGACGGCAGCGGTGATGTCACGGCCGACGGCAGCGGCGAGCCCTTAGTAGAGGCGAACTGCCGCAGGATTTCTTCCCTCTGTAACGTCTTTTGATGCTTCTTGCCCTGCAGTGCGTCAAAAAAAGAAATGTATGCAGTTGCACACAACGTAAAAGGTGCGGGAATCGCGGAGAAGTGGCTCGCTTGTCCTAGGGCGACGCCGGCGTTCCCAAACAAGCGGAAAACTGCGCTGGCGTCGCTTCTCCCGACTCTCACTTCCTTTTCCCGCCTCTATGCTATAGTGTTTACGTCTACGCTATGCTTTATCCTCCTCCTTTCTCTCTTCCAACTCACATCTTTTTCCCATTACCATCACGTTCCTTTCCCACTGCATTGCGCAGCTACACAACATGCAGCTACGCTATGCGTCACCCTTGGCCTCTTTTCCCTACTCCTCACCCTAATATCACTTCTCCCCCCCCCCCACACTTCGCTTTCCTGCTCCTTGAAATACTACACCACGCAGTTCTGTAATCCTTTAGGCTCTCCCTTCCTACTTCCCCTCTCCCTTTGCCTATGCTTCGGTATACTAATCTATACAGAACTATGACGTAATGGTTTTGCCAGCGTGACGCTACATGGCAATGCCATGCTTTATCCTCGCTTTAGCTCACTTTCAAATCACTCCTCACCTTCATTTCACTTTTCCGCTTCTTGATCATACATACTCTGTAATCATACATACTTCTGTAATAATTTGAGCCTCACCCCCCCTACTTTTTTCTTCCTTTTCCCTACACCTTGGTATACTATTCTGCACATAACTATGACGTAATGGTTTTGCAAGGTGACGCTACGTGGCTAGCGTTACTTTACCCTCGTCCTTACTCACCCTTGCATCATTTCTCAGTCCCGCTTCACGTCTTCTTGCTATACTATACATGACTGCCTGCGTGACACTATAGGCAAGAACATGAGATGACTGCAGACATGCAACAACAGAACGAGCCCCTAAAATGATGCGCAGTTAAAAAAAAATTGAAGGAGGAGCTGCGAATGAAAGGCTCCAAATGACGTCATGAGGCTTTACAGCGCATGGAAAACACGAGAAAAAAAGACGCTACACTCACAGGCGCTAATTTGCACCAACCTTTGTCACGAGCCGGGAACGCCAATACATGGACAAGTTTTTCGCGTAGACCATCATACATGCGCCGTTTGTAAAACGAAAACCTTTTGAAGTCCTCGAAACGCCCTGAATTGAGGCAATGCAGCAGTGCCGTTGCCGGTGAGAATGACGGAGCTCAGAGCACGTGTACCTCGGCATACAGAAGACTGCTCCGTCGTGGCTAGAGCCGAGGGAAAGCTGACTCGTGAAATCATCAAAAGCAGAAATAACTGATAGGCTCGAGTATGAGTGTTTGTCACAACCATCAATTGCCTTTCACCGCAAAGATCTTTTATGCCTAATAATCTGTAAGCTTTCGTTTCTTTCTGTTTTTGACACTCCATGCATGATGATCGATGCTGAAAATTCGTTAGACTTAGTTTTAGGCTCATATTAAAAATTGTATCAAGTTCGCAACTACATGCGTCGCGTCTTCGTGTTCGCCTTTCCTTATACTTTAAGGGCCAGTGCACAGTACTAACTGGCACACAACACTGCATTAGCGCACTTCTAAACGACGAAGGAGCATCGTTAGATGCAACAACGGAGGAGCGCAAAACTGCCCACAACTGCAACTGTACGAGACTCGCGCTAATAGGAGAGGCGGACCGGTTTGACACGGGAGCGTCAATCAGACCTGATACTCTATCGAACTTGCCGGCGTTTTCCTGTCCCGAGTGTGAGCCTCAGCTCGCTCCATATAAAATAGGTGCTAATCAGTGGCACTTCGGACGTGTTATTTCTGCAGCGACATGATGAATTGTATATTTAGACACGCTCCTCTAACATTGATCGATCATATGGTGATTTTGGCACGTTAAACCGCACATATCATTAACTTTGATAGACCCAGCTAAGCACGAATTCGACGGTTTTGCCTACGGCTGCAATCCAGTGGGGAGGGGTGGCGGCGTAATAACACCCGTGTGCAGTGTTCTACAGAAGCTCGAAAAACCAGCAAAACCATTTCGGAATCGCTACCCACTATGGCGTGCTGTATAATCAGATCGTGGTTTCGGTGCGTCGGACTTAAGAAAAAATTTATGTGCTCTGAAGTCGCCAAGCCCGACTGGCCACCAGCCTCGGCGGGCGTTTCCGATTTCAACGTCGATAATAACAACTGTTGCTGTTTTACGTCCCAAAACCACGATGTGATTGTGGGGGATACTCTGTAGTGCAGGGCACCGGAAATTTCGACCACCTGCTGGGGTCCCTCGACGTGCGCCCACGGGCATCTAGCATTTCGCCTTCTTCGTAGTGAGATTGCTGCGGCCGTGGTTCGAAATCGCGACCTTCCGGTCAGTTATCGGGCGCCCAAACGGCTACACCACCGTGGCTGGTCTTAAAGAAAAAAAAAACGGACTGGAAAGCCACCAACCTTAGTGTGCGCGATCATGGCGTCTTCGCAGTTCATGGCCACGTCGCACAGCTTGCAGACAAAGGGCATCGCAGCAGTCTGCGTCGACGGCTGCCTCGCGGCGGACGGAGTGGTCCACCGTCATGACATCCGGGCTACTGTTCACCGGGGCCCCGCCAGCGGCAATCTCAGCCAGCAGTCTGTGGGCCGCGACTTTTTTCTGATGTCTAGCGCTCTTCAGGTGGTCCATGTAAGGCGTGGGCCCGCTGAACTGCATGCTGCATTCCCGGCAGGCGAGCTGCGTCGACGCCATCTGCGGAAAACGGGCCGCGTCTTGCAGTAACGGACTGCCGGCGTTCCACGGATTCCACTCCCGAGTCGCCATTTCCGACAAGTCGTGCGTTGTCGACAATCCTGTTTCTTTATAGGGGGATACCACCAAGGCTGTGGCCGACAAACAGCGGTAACGGTATACCCGGCGAGCTATGAGCCTGCGAGCTACGCAATTAAGCTGCAGGCTATGCAACTCCGACAACGCACGAGGAACGTGTGAAGGCGGAAGATGCGATAGTCTCCGCCATGCCTACCTGGTGCGCCGGTTGCATCCGTGACGAAGTGTGCGCATTGTTAATTAAAAGAGCACCGATGCGCATGAATTTCTTTTTTCGCTTCGTTCCTTATGCGAAACACACTATCCCCCGTATTCACAAACGCCCCTTCGCTCAAAGGCTCTCCTCGACTTCAAAAAGTCGATGGGAGCGCCGTCTCTTGGCAGACCAAATCACTGCATATCGGCAATATTCTGCTGTGATTCTTGAGAAGCGCAGCGTCAATTTCAGCCGAGCAGCGGCGCAGTGCTGAACTCAGTCAAGTAAAGAGTGAAAGTCGAGTCGAGGAGCGTTTGTGAATGCGGGGGTGTATCGGCAACAACTTTTCTTAAGGGAAAGCTACGGGGGCGGAGCTTCTGTCCATCTAGCAGTACGCGAAGTAGTTCCTTTTGGCGCGCGTCTCGTAACGCTGTGGACAGTGACGGGGACGCACCATCAGCGTTTCATGTAGACGCAGCACAGCGTTTGAGGTAGACGCAAAGAGGCAGGATTTTCTCGCGCCTCTGAAAACGCTGTAGACTTAAGATGAATACAACTGTCTCGCTGGTGTTTGATGCGTCCTGTCTCAAACAGCTCCACGAAGAAATAATGGAGCACTTTTATATTCCACGTTGAAAACACGGGCGCTGTTGTGGACTACATACACTGACTGCAGGACGCACGCGATTTCGCTTTGTAACCTTCGCTTCAATGCCAAGAAGAGATGTCGCCGAGTAATTGAGCAAGTCGATTGGGGTCACCGAAACCCGCTTGCTTGAACAATCAACTCATTCGGTGCTTTCAATAAGAAAATATCACGCCGCGTAAAGGATATAAAGAATATTGTTAAATACTATAAGACGAAATGGGGTCTAGTGCGCTACTTCCATTTTGACGAAAATTTCCAATTTGGGAAGCCGTTACTGGGTGCAGCAATCCAGCAGGATTAGTAGCAGGAAAAAATCCAGAGTGGCATATGGTAGTCATCCGCTGTTCTATTGTCTGTAATGAGTCTAATAAGAGTAACACTTGGCTGGTTATGGTAAATACCAGCCGGTACTGCATGGCGTTCCTTAATAGTGCCCCTTGTACCAGGCATGGACAGCTAACTTGTTGTACACGTGACAGCTCCGCTCAATAAAAGTTGCCACATTTCAGAGCAGAGCTGTTACGGTCGAGGTCTGCCCTGTGTCGCAGATGAGATAGAAAATGAACCGGAAACGGCATGTGCTCAGTCCCCCCCCCCCCCCCACCGACGGTTAACAATAAAATAACGTTTAGGGTTTCACGTACCAAAACCACGATATGATTATGAGCGACGCCGTGATTAAGGGCGATCCTCGGAGTTCGATGCCAACGAACAGTGCATATGCTAGCCGGGACAAAGAAACACGGCGTTTCGAATTGAGACCCGCAGGTCGCGGGTTCTAATCCCGGCTGCGGCGGCTGCATTTCCAATGGAGGCCGAAATGCTGTAGGCCCGTGTGCTCACACTTGGGTGCACGTTGAAGAACCCCCAGGAGGTCGAAATTCCCGGAGCCCTCCACTACGGCGTCTCTCATAATCATACGGTGGTTTTGGGACGCTAAACCCCACATATCAATCATCAAAATCAATCGGTGTTTCGAATTATTGGGAGGGTAATTAACGAGAGATAAAGGAATATTTATTGTGGCAGAAAAGCTGAGAGGTCGGCCTGGATCCACTTTTTGGTCCGCTACTCGGCGTTAGAAAAGAGGGGGAGGAAAAGAAAGGAGAGAGAGAAGATGATGATCAGGAGGGGGAAGGTGTCGATGAAGGAAAACCTTGAAATTTCAAATCAATGTGCAGTGTCTGTTGTCCAATTCTGTCTTGCTTAAAAACTTGTTCAGCGCTTTCAGAATATCACGCTGATGACGAGGTATAGTGGTCCCAACAGAACTTTTTCAGATGATTATTGCCTCGTGCATTTCAACGAATTTCTTAGCGCGATATGTCGTGGTCAGACGCACATGGTGTGTTCACTTGCCTCACAGGTGCCATGCGTCTCACAACAGGTACTGTCTGCTGGGCCGATAAGGTGTGGGGTAGTTCACGAGTGTGCGCCACGCCTACTCGTAATTAACCAATTAACGAGCTTTTACCGCATTGCTTTAAGATGTAAGCCGAACTTTTGTGCGTCTTTACGTTCAGATACCGTCGATCGATTAAGTAAGCTACGGCTTTTCGAGTACAAGCTTGATATCACGTTTCTACACCTTACGTTCTCTACCCTTAAAAAGCGAAAAATTTGACAGACGAGTTGCCACTGTGATAAGCGCCACCGACGAGATAAAACACAGACCACTTGTAATTTTTCTTTGGTGCTTGTGATTCGTTTTTCTGTCACCCCAGTGCCAGGATTTTCAGTAAAAGTACGTAAGAAAACGCGCGCAGATTCAGCCTACTTTTTAAAAATTATTTCACGACTTTTGTTTCCGAAGATTTTGGATTACTTTTCCTGTTCCTAGGATTATTGTTGAGGAGGAGGAAAGATTAGGCGGAAGGACATAGCCAGTTCTTAGACCAGCTGGCTACCTTGTGCTGGGGAAAGGGGTGAGCGAAAAAAAAATGATAGAAAAGAAATGTTATTATTGATAGCGTGTAGGTGCTAATAATTATACGACGGTATATGCTGGGTTGATGGTTAATGTACTTGTATAAAAATGTCGTGATATCGCCTTTTTTTTAAGCCTCTTATCTCGATCTTTTAAACTTTGATTAGACGGTTGTGCTTGAAAGCTCGATTATTGCATCTCACTTTGCAACACATTGTAATATTTGGCACTGCGCATGCAACTGCTGTGCTCTCAACTGACAGTGGCCGCGTTAGAAGTTACGAGCAAAATATTCGAACTCTAAATGTACTCAGCTGACTGCTAAGCGCACTACGTAGGCCTGAGATAAAAGGAGGGGCGCGTCAATACAAATATTTATCTTTGCTGATTTCTAACCAGCTGGGCATTTGTACTCTTAGATACTTGAGCCTCCACTTCTCGCGTACAATTCGACACAGTTACAGTTTATGTTCGCGCCTTATTTTGCATCCGGTATACATTCAACATTCATTCTTCCCTCGCCCTATCTTGTCGTTTACCACAGCAGAATCCGGAAAGCGATAAGCTTAGTAAGTTTCTACTAGTTTTCTTTTTTTTATTTGATGTTAGCGCTTTCCCACGCCTATTACTTTACGGGCGTCACTTTATCGCTTGTACTTGTTCTCTGAATACGTAGTCATATTTCGCGCGTTTTTTTTTTTTTGTATTCTATCAGTTGCATGCCCACATTCTTGATACACGGACTTCTGTTTCAGTACACTTAAGTACCAGCATGCACGGACTTTAGTATTGCAGAAATACTGGCGAACAAGTATTTCTTGATTCTGTAGTTTATGAAGTCAATTAATCACACACTCTTTGTTGTTATCCGACGGGACACACGTTCAATAAAGTATTGGCGTGACGTGCAAACAAATGTAATTTACTTAATTTCGCGCATTCCTTGCTTTGTTGGAAATTTTTTTCAATAAAATAGAATGCTATTAGGTTTTTTGCTGTGGTAGTGTCAGTCTCTTTGTTCAGGGTAAATGATTCTGTAACATAAGCGCATAGGCACCCAATCACCGATATTCACACAACATGTCGATAATCATGCTATAGATGTTTTATTGGTGCTGTAAAATGAATATTTTCCTGAAAAGGCCCACGCAGGTGCACTTTTTAACATTTAAATGCATGTTCTATTTATTACACCAGTGTGTTATGTTAGCTTAGTCTGCTTTCAAATTGTCCACATGAATTTCAGTAGCACTGTATTTGCAAGTGACACCATCGTCAACAAATAATCTTGTGGGCTTGCTGACTTTTGTACTTCTAAATAAACGACAACCGGTATTGCAAAGTTGGTCAACCTGTATGCAGACAGGTTAATTGTTAATTATTTGTTGCCATATTGAGGGTATAATTTGAAATTTGTCTACATCTCAGTAAAACAATCAAACATCACAAATAATTTGTTGACGCTTTGAATGAAAATAAAGGTCTACCCTGCTGAACCATATTATTAATTCAACCAACGTATCGGATCCAACGCTATAAAAATTTGAATTCCTGCTATAAAAGGGTACTTATATAGAGCAGATACGACATTACAAGACAGACTATCACATAATACAATACAAACACAATGGGATAATCAAAACTAAATGCACTGGCACCGTGCCCGAACTCTAACAAGCCCGCATTTGTCTTAGAAGGTGGAACTTAATTTCGTGAAACGAATTCGTGGTGTTTTGGGAATCGGTGAACAACGCAAGGCCGGTGTGTTTGTACACAAGCGGATCATGATGCCAATTTTCCCGAGACTGTCGCAAATCCGAAACTTCATTGTTTTCCTCGCAGATTGAAGCCGCAAAATGGAACAGACGGAGACGACCAGGAAACAAAAGGTAAATACGTACCTTGCAATACTTATGCCGCGGATTTGAAGAGCTGGAAGTGCAAGAGGATCGTTGAAACCTGGGATTCAATACACTCGCGCAATCAATTCTTGCTGGTGATGGCGTTGAGTGATCGGCATACGCACGCGTACAACGTTAGTGCAGTTGCTTTTGATTGCACGGTGGATGCGAAAGAGCGGAGAAGTCGAGACATTGAAAGGGTGTTTGTTCTCAATTCATTAAAATCGCTAAAATCTTCGGCAGGGAGACCGGCGTAATGAATCAGCAAGACCGGAAACGGCAGCGGAAACATGGTCGCCAGAATAGCGCCTGACGGCCGAATTGCATCTTTTTTTGTCTTTACGGAACCGCTTCCGCCATCTTGTGGCAAGAAAGTTTACTACAGCAAAAGCTTCTTTGTGCGATCGACAGGTGGCGCGAACTAGCTCGCGCGCCCGTGACAAGCGCGTAGTGGTGTACAACCATCCATACTCAAGCAACTGTCGAACTATCCATGGTTTTTTTCAAAAAGACTATCGATAGTGCTATCATAAGCCAACGTGATAGTACCATTGATAGCCAAATCCAACCGCGCGAACTCATTGCAGCGGGAACTTGCTTCTCCTAGTGCAAGAAGAGCATGCTGCAGGGTACTCCCTAAATGGTGTTCTGTTGGTTCTGCAGATACTCCAAAATCAAGATGGGAGCCGACAGGTGGAAACACGAAATGGGATAAGTAGGATTAACAGTGGAAGTGCCAGAGACAGGCTGGCCGATGTTTCGATGGGAGGACCTATCGTTGTCGAAGACGCCTTGTCATCATTGGCGTGTTAGTTATAAGTGGGTTATTATTGACATCACTGCTAACCCCCTTAAAACTAATACGCCAAAGATGACAAGGCGCCTTTGACAAAGGTCCTAAACGCCAGCTAGCCTGGCTCAGGCTCTTCTACTGTTCATCCTGCTTATCTCACTATGCTGTATGGTAAAGAATCTACGGGCTTGTTTTCATCTACAAGTATTGGCTGACACATTATGATTAAGCTGAACTGAACATTTGGATCGAAAAGGAAGCCGTTACATGCGATGAAACTGTGTGGCTTTCAACTGTTATTGCATTTCGTGATTTCAAAATTAAAAGCACCGAGAACTAAGTTGGTTAATTGTCAGCTGACGTAAGTGGTTACTTCTGAATATTAATTTATTCACAGACATATTGTGTCATTTCCACTGCAAAAATAGCGTACTTCTTTTGCAAAACACAAAAAATACACCTGCGCTGTATTCCTTATACTACGCTACCACAGATGTTTTGGCATTGACGCCAACCAACCACAGCAGCATCATATCGCAGCGCAATCGAAGTATTCGCAGTAATATATACTACGGATGGTGCTATCCATTCCACTATCCATGTTACTATCGATAGTTTATCCATGGTAGTAACTATGAATAATTTCTTACACTATGCGTCGAAAAAAAAACTATCAAAGCTATCGATAGTCCGATTTACCAATAATTGATTGATATTTGGGGTTTAACGTCCCAAACCACATGAGAGACGTCATAGTAGAGGACTCCGGAAGTTTTGACCACCTGGGGTTCTTTAACGGGCATCCAAAATTGAGCACACGGGCCTACAGCGTTTTCGCCTGAATAATTGTCGCGTTTTGCTGAACCCAATAAAAGTTTATTCACTCACTCTCTCACTCACTACAGTGTCGAGGAAGAAACAAGAAAATGGATCGAAGAGATGTGACTACGAGAGTGGCGGCCCAACAAGCGATCCAAACATCAGCTCGCATGATTGGATTGGCAGCGCTGGTAGAGCTGCCCTCAGCTCTACCAGCGCTGCCCTCAGCTGGTAGAGCTGAGGGCAGCGCAGCTGAACAAATATTCTCGGCCAGTACGCTACCTGCGTCCAGGTGGACACGTGATGGACCGCAGTACAAGTGAAGTAGTGATATAGATTGCAGTTAATACAATATGTGTATTGCACGAGCAGGGGATAGTCAATAGGGAGCTTTCGAAGAGGGGCCCCGAGCTTTTGGGGACCCATAGCCCTTTGCGTAAGCACGCTTTGGGTCTAGCAGGAGCGAAAAGTTTTCGAATAGAATCTGCGGCGCTTTGGATACTCTCCCAATTCTTGGTCATGTCACTTCAGTGGGGGCCACCACGTTTGCCTGACGCAAAGCTTTAGGGGCAGGCTTTGGTGCTCCTGCTAAATTCGAGAAATAGTGTTCCCAATCCAAAACTCCCCAAACGCGGCTTGAGTATTGCGCTTGTGCAGTGGCCTTGATGCTATTTCTTTGGTCCCCAATATTCGAAAGCTCCCTCATGAAAATCATACATTGCGTCACGGCTGCGCTGGAAGAAAAGTTCCCCTTACTTTGCTATGTTCCAGCAAATTAAACAATATTTATTGATTGCTTTCAGCGGGGATCATTGGAACGTTTTCCTTTTCTTCTCTTTCGTCCGTAAGGAGGGAGCCTCTCTCGCCGCCAAGGTGCTGGCGCACTTAGCAAGCATGCAGGTTGCCGAAGGGTATATCTTATGTAACTTCGTTACAACACTAGTTTCAAGAACCCCAAACCGAAAGTAATCGACATCGATTGAACGTATCTCTAAACAGCACAATTTGCCGACACTGTCCAGGCAGCAGCTCTGTGTGCAACATCATTGATCACGGAACTATTTTAAGAGCCTGCTCGTGATTAGTTCAAAAAAACAAACAAAGGACACAGCTTCATTTAGCAAAGAGGAAACCGGGCGGGGCAATAGCCTGCAAATTATGCAAGGCTAGATCCGCCGGCTACTTGCAACATCCTCAACCTTAACCTTAACCTTGATCACAGAAAACAACATTTAAAAGTGCTTCATACATTTCATGTCGAGAGCGTTGCTTCTTCGCGTATGGCAGTTGTAGTGATGCTTGAAATTAACAGAACCAACAACTCTATCACGGCGTGAGGACACGTTCACTTTTCTGCGAAACCGAAACTCACTCGTACAGGGCATTATACTTAACTATCCTCACGCTACTTTGCCACAGGGTGTTTCCCTGCTTTGAAAAATTTGTACATTTACTTCAAAGGGCTCCAGAAAAAGGCCTACACTTGTTTTTTTTTTTTTACTATTGTTCCACAATATCAAGAACTAGTTGTGAAGACGCGCCTAGTAACCCACTGAAGGCGAATAAAGAAGGACAGGTTCCTCGCCAGATATTCCCAGCGTAATACTACAGCAGGATAGGGTAAAAATGTAGCTGCATGCCTTTGCAGGAAACTACACCATTTTATTTTTATAGCTATAAATAACTTACATTGTACTGCGAGCAGGCCAGCTACATTCCATAAGGCATGTAACCGAATCAGTTATTGAGTGATCTTGACCAGAATACTGAATAAAGAAGCGCTTTGAAATTTGTGACGTCACACTAATGTAGCAGTCATGGGGAGTTCGGCTCAAAGCTAGAGAGAAAGTACCTTTGTTTTCTGTTCCAACAACAAAACTATTACCCTAAGATGAGCAACCCACTCCTAAAAAAAACTGACTGTATAAACTGACAGTATTAACTAACCGAAACCCTTCAGTTTAGCGTCTCTCTCGGGCACATTAAAGCATGAATTCGGCGTATGCGGTTATTATCTCTTTAGGAAGAGGTGATGAGTCAAAGTGTAACATGGAAGTAAAACGCATGTACTGTTCCTTCTTAATACCTGGGATGTATTCGAACTAAAAGAACGAGAGGAGTTCTTGTCGCCTTATAAAAAGGGAGTAGTTTTTCGTGAAAATCTGCACAGTCTCCTACACTTTATTTAGAAGTTCTATTGAAAGAGAAATAATATGAAAATTAAAGCTATCCACAATTGTATCACTTTCCATTAATGTATTCTAAAGGATAAAAGGTTATATATGTTATCAAAGTTAATTCAGAAGTCCTGACCAGCACGTCCGTCCCAACCTATGTGGTTATTCCACTAGTGAAACTCCACAACCATTTCCTATAGTCGCATATTAAAATATCCTGATGCATCACAAGATGACAATAAAATTAACTACGTTGTTATTCATCAGCTTCAAAGAATTCGGCAAGTTTGGTCAGTCAATGGCAGAAGATACTGAGGCATTAACATAGCAGCAATAGAAAAAAATTAATATTGTTTAAAACAACGAAAAAAAAACGAAAGCGTGAGCAAAATGCAAGCTATGCATGCAGAAAATATGTCACTGTGAAACATGGATACAAGTGGTAAAACTGTTCGCGCATGAAGGTTGAGAGTGAAAGAGCAAATAAAAGGGCCTTCTTGCCCATTATAAATTGCCGCCGTGGAGAGGTTGGGGTTGTTTGGACGCGTGTGCGCGCTGTGAAGAAAGAAAACTGGACTGCGGGAATCCCGACTCTGGAAGACTTTATTCTTTCCCTCCTCACTTTCCTCGCGCTACTCTTTTCCCGCGTGGGGTGGGAGTTGAGTAGGCGAAGGAAGAACCGGTTGTCGGGAGAACTCCCGCGCCTCATTTGATTCGTTTGTAAGCATCCACCGCAGGCTACGTAGCAGAGAAGCTACTTTGGTTATAGCAAAAAAATGGCAGCATATCCACGGAGTGAATGATGGAGAGTGGGGCGAAGCATTCGTCCGTCTATTCGTTCTTGCTTCCGTCCGTCCATGCGTCCGTCTGTGTGACCGTCCATGCGTCCATCCACCCGTCCGTGCGTGCGTCTGTTCGTACGTCCGTCCCTGCGTTCGTTCATGCATCCGCCCCTGCGTTCGTTCATCCGTCCATCCATGCATCTGTCTGTGTGTCCGTTCGTCCATCTATTCAACACTCCAAGTACCACCATCTCACATCTTTTCATCATATATTCCCCATATAGAAGCACCGCCATCCAGCGGACATTCCAAGGACTAAAGGAGAGGTTGCACACGCACACTTTCTTACGGCTTGCGCTTCAGGTCTCCTTCCCACCTTTAACCACCTCGAGTTCATGGTATATACGAGTTCACTCTATTCATGGCACTGCGGCCCAACGCTCGCTAAACCTTTTTAAAACCAAGGAGGTTACGCCCAGCGAGTATAACGTAGCAACCTTTTCCTGTCATATAGTGCTCAATGTACATGCCAAGGGCTGCTAATGGAAAATGAGAGACAGGAGAATTTGGCTTTTACTTTTTTACGGCTTGCGCTTCGTATCTACTTCTCATTTTTAACCACCTCGAGTTCATTCATGGTATATACTAGTTCATTGTATTCATGGCACTGCGGCTCAACGCTCGCTAAAGCTTTCTAAAACTAAGGAGGTTACACCCAGCGAGTCTAACGTA